TACAGTAGAGATGTTCAAAGATAGTTTMTTACCCTTTCTCCAAGAACCAGTTTGATAACTGCCATGGATTTCTTCACCTATCAGACACCAAAATACATTGAATATCATTCTYAYRCCARTATTAMMATGAARCCTGCTTAATATACACCAYAGGGAGCCCAAGCTTGGTTTTTGTTTCAGTACATGACAGTAAATGCATGAGGTTAAARCAGTTTTTGTATGAGTGGAAAACTTACGATAGGGACATGTTGTAAACAACACAACATGCCATAACATTCAAATGGCTTCTTATTTGTCCTCCAGTAATTCATCAGTCACACCTACAGTAAGATACACTACAACTATACACTATGACTACCATATTCTGTAGTTCCAGAAATTATCCATACCTCCCATGGAGGAATTTTTTTAAAGAGAAATTCCAAATTCCTCTCGGTGGGGGGGGGGGTTTGGATAATTTCTGGAACTACGCAGTTGTCGTTTCCCACTCATAAGAAAACCACTCTAACCATACCAAATTTTAGCAAAATCAGTGCACTTTTAATGAAAATAGTGAGGAAGGAAATTATAAGAAAATGAAATGCCATATTAAATTAATGTAATATCTTAAAACAAAATATGAGCATGGGTTGCCGTTCCCTGTATATAAGAGGAGTTTGAATGAGACCCTGCGGTGCATCTAGTATTCCAAGTTCACTCAAAACCAAACATAAATTTTACATTTATTTCTCTACATTAGCCCTAGCTATACACACCTTATGATATCTTTCTGGAGATGGCATGGGTACTCCCTGTCGGTTTGCCTCATGTTTCAGAGTATTAAGCATGTTCCGTTCTTTTAACAAAACATACCTATTTTAAGAAATAAAGAGTTTTTAATATGAATTGCACAAAATGCTTAGGCTTAGAGTAGGTTACTCTAGGCATTCTGGTCTCAACAATTTTCCAGCAAGTGAGCAACTTTTGCTTTAACAAGAAAAAACCTTCCACTACTCCCACAAAGTGTACTGTTAATGTGTCAGCACTTGTGTCCCAAAACTAAGCACTAGACTTTGCTGTACTGTACAGGAAACCCTGTACCAAAAGCTTTTCAAAATTATTTTTAAGATAAAACACACCATAATTTGTGCAAATCCTCATTTGATTTGGTCCTCAATTCTCCAGCTCTCCATCGTCTACCTGTAAGGATAAAAACAACCGTCTGAGGTTCAGTCACATCGATTGTGTTTAGGGTAGAAAGAGTAAAGACAATTTAGAGCATTTTCATGTGACGTCACAGCGGCCATGTTGGTGTACCAAGACAAAACATTTACTATCCTAGGGGAATTGACCTCCATTTTTATGCAAAACTTGTGCAGAAAGTTTCTGTTGTTTGGTACACCAATATGGTTGCCTGCTTTCATGTGAGTGAAAACACACTATAGCACTGGTTGGTGTTCCCAAACATTAGCGATACCATTGTGACCATTTATCATGCACAATAGTTCTTGTCACGTAGGTTTGTTTCATCAGCAGATCAGTCTCTGGTTAGCATATTAATGACAATAGGTTATGGGCAGCAACTACCGCTATTTTACTGAAAATTACTTCTTTTCTATTCACACCAATCTCAACCAATCTCCAATTTTCGACACAGCCACAGACATTTKTTTTTTTTTTTTTTGGCTTCCATCAATCAAAAATCATAACTTAGTCAATTAACGCGACGCCTAGCTAGTTGTCTGGTTCACGTAATGATCAAAATAATTTAAATCCTTTACAACTTATCGGTTTATGAAGTCATACCTGTTTTTACAGTCTCAGGAGCAAGTTCCCCCTTGTCCAGTACACCAGGAGGAAAGAATTCTTCTAAACCACGAGAACAAGATGATGTCTTGAAACCTTGTGAAACGATGGAGGGACACCTAAAGAAACGTAAAAAAATGTTCAGTCCAAGAGATTTAGACATGCTCAACCTGTGAGGAATCTAATAATAATTTTCTGTTGTAAAATACCTAAGTACTGATGTAGAATAACAAGGTATTCTGTACAATACGCTTCGCAGTTTGGCCGCCATCTTGAAAATGCTCGCGCATAAACGGTGTATATTTTAGTTGCGCAGTAGCGTTACCGCTGTACAGTTGACTACAGACTCTCTTTTTCTCTTCCTAGCTTCTTTCGTTGTTTCTTCTTTTTGTATTTCATTTCTTTCCTTCTTTTCTTCTTTTGTCCTTACTTTGTCCTCTTTCTTTCCTTTCTCCTTTTTTTTAATTTCTTTCTTTTTTCCCTTCATGTCTTTCTTTCTTTTTAAGAGATAATTGAAAAATGATATTAGCCATAAGGGGAACATAATTTATATTTAGCCAGAGGCTGGTACTCTTCGCCGGATCTCGTTTGTGGGCTTCCTGTGTTAGATATTTAAAGTAACGCATGCATGACTTCCTGTATCTTCTGCAGGAAATCAATATTCTTGAAATTTCGCGTTGCAGCATCGAGTGTTGGCTTGACATGGCTGCGTTAACTCCTTTCATCAATGATGTAGAAGAGAAGGTTATTTGTTTCATTTGTAGTAAAACCTTTACAGATCCTAAAACTTTGCCATGTTTGCACAGTTACTGTACAAAATGTATCACACAGTTGTACGAGAAGAGCGAAGAACTTGGGGAGGTTTATGCTTGTCCTCAGTGTCAGACACGAATCGACTTGTCGGAAGGAAGAGATGCTGATCAACGGCGTTCCTTCTACATTGATGCTCTTTTGAAATTACTTGTCGCTATGAAAAATTCTTCAATTCAAGATAAAGAAGAGGAGGAAGATATGATAAGAAGTGAATGTACAAGCTGTGAAAAATACGCCAATCTTGTTGCATTTTGCCCACARTGTAAAGGAATGATTTGTCAAGAGTGTCTTGGTGCCCACAAAAGCGTGAACCAACTCCGACGTAAACATCAGGTAGCCATGTTAAATGAATTCAAGCAAGAAAACTTGAAAGATTTTGTCGAAAAACAAATGTTCTGTATGGAAGAATCCCACGAGGAGAATAGTGATCAGCCAACGGGTCAATATTTTTATTGCAAAGAAGAGACTTGCAAACGCTTTATTTGCCARTGCTGCTTATTATTGGCCCACAGAAACCATAACACAGAAATGGTAGAAAAGGCAGGAAAACAGTTCAAGAAAACTATAAAAGAAGACATCGATAGACTTAAAAAAGTCAAAGAGGGCTACGAAGARGAGCTATCGCTATCCAAWCAAAACATGGYTCGCATTTTAARCGAAGTAGAATTAGCCAGGCTTAAAATCGACGAAGAAAAGGATGCCGTAATCAAGATGGCTAATGACCACGCTAAAGCAATGAACGAAGCTTTAGATAAACTGTTACTTGACCAACGAACTGCATACCAAGGTGAGCAAAGCACTATTAACGAAGTTAAGAAGCAAGTAACTGAATATCAGGGCCGATGTCAGAATGTCATTGAAAGAAATATAACGTACGATATGTTTGAAAGACAAGAACTAATTCAAGAAAGTACTAAAGCTTTATCACAACCATCTTTCAAACCAATGAAGCGCTTGAGAGTACGATACCGCAGCGGTGACTATGCTCATTTTTTGGCCTCGGGTATTGCGGGAAGCATTGTTGAAAGCGTGATTGACCCCTCACGCAGTTCCATCGAATCGCTGAAAGAGGTTAGACAATGTTTTTTGAATGAGTTTGAAATCGTAACGAGAAATTCAGACGGGAAAATGTGGTATGCACAAGATGAGCGGATTTGCATATCAGTCACTCCCTCGAACACTACTGGGGCTTATGATATATTGACATCCTTGAATAAAGAAGTTATTGACGAGAAAAATGGAAGGTACCGCGTGAGATTTAGAGCCGCGGAAGCCACACAATACGAAATTAAAGCGAGCATTGGCGAAAGAGATGTTGGAAGTGAACCGATCAAGAACTCACCTCAAATCATAAACACACTAAGTATTGATTCAAAATTCAACCCTCTAAAAACCTTTGGAGAATATGGTGTGGGTAAAGGGCAGCTACTGGTTTCCAGGTCCATAGCCATTGGCGATGGAAAGATTGCAATTGCGGACTCTGCAGCTCATCGCATCCTATTATTTGATCTTGACGGAAAGAATTTGCGAGAATTTGGAAGTAAAAGGCTGGAAGGAGGAGGAGGGGAACTAACCTGGCCATTTGGCGTTACCTTTTTCAAAAGCAAGCTAATTGTCAGTGATTATCCAGGAAATGGTAGAATACAGGAGTTTGGCTCAGAGGGTACTTATTTAAGAACTATTTACAAACCTGAAGAAGAGTTCATACCACGTGGAATGTGTGCTGCTGATGATAACGTTGCTGTGTGCTGCTGGAGAAATGAAGGAGAGGGGAGTGTTCTGCTGCTTCTTGAAGAAGTAGAAGAAGAAGAAGAAGTGATAAACGAAGAGTTTACCGTTACAGGGCTCCCCTTACACATCACTTTTGGCGACCGTAAATACTTTGTATCGTTTGTTAACAAAAACTACATTCATGCCTTCAATAAACGTGGTGGTCTGTTGTTTACATTTAGAGACCTGGAACAAGTGGATGGGCTACTTAATACAGTGTGCGGCTTATCCTTTTATGGTGGTGAAATGATTCTTGTTTGTGATGGTAATAACCATAGAGTGGAGCAGTACACAAAGGAAGGGAGGTTTGTGCAGTCATTTGGTACTATTGGTTCAGGCATTGGTCAAATGCTTCACCCTCTTGATGTAGCCGCTTCGGCTGATGGACGAGTGTTCGTGTTAGAGTCGGAAGGTAAAAGAGTGCATGTGTGGAAGTAGCTCTATGACGCGAAATACAAGTCAAAATACATGTATAAATACATGTATCAAATACAAGTAAGCTATTGTTTTCAACAATAGAACTTGACACTTTTTGTGACATTGATTGCGCATGTACAAGAATATGGCGGATTCTTCGACGTCAGATTTCTACGTAACGTACTATGCTGAATGTTTGAGAAATACTATACCTCCAACGATAATAGATGTAAACGATACATCTATTTGGGGAAAATTCAATGGAAACAAYAAACCAGTAGAAAAAAAATTAGATAGAGCCCTCAATTTCCTCCAAGTTCCTCCATAAACTCATTTAAGTCTGTTCCATCCCGGTATATCTCATTCGTCGCAAAAATATTACAAAGTTATGATCGCCTTTGGACGTCCTCTGATTGCCCCCGTGTTATTTTTATGAAGACGTCTCACAGTTTGACAAAAGTTCTTTAACCTGAGAACGGCAAGTTGGTTGCACATTGTCATTACTGAAGGAAGCTTTCCTTCGATGTTTAACTGTGAGMCTATAAAGCAGCATATTTTATAGTGGGCTTAGAGGCGTTTTTGCTGATCAACATTTTGATTCCTTGTATTTTTTGCCTCAATTAGCGAAGAGGTTACTTCAAGAAACTTTGATATTTCTTCTGAAAAGCCACTCATTTTGCAGTCAGTAACGACTAGTATACTTTACTTAGTAGTTATTTAATGCCTTTTGACCTGAAAAGCCACTCATTTGCAGTCAGTAACAACTAGTATACTAGTAGTTATTCATGCCTGTTGACCTCTGTTAGTTATTAAAAGGTTTTCAACATGGTCAAGTATAATAATATCTTTCACTTTCATTAACTAAAACGGATTAATAAAACAACCAATCATGTCCTGTATTCTCGTTACTGTGATACATGTACCAACCAATCACGTCCTGTCTCTTTCTCAGCACCATTAAGGCATGGCTCTTTTGAGGAAGTGATGGAAAATCAGTTATTTATTCATATCTTTGACAGCTTACTATGAATCTTTCCCAAATTTGGCTCGTAGTAGTAATTCTTCAAGGCAAGCAATTACCGCATATGTGTTACCATGGAAACCAGGTCACGTGACCACAAGGCCGCCATCTTGGATTTTTTAAACAAATCGTTTGTAGTCGTATTGAAACTACTTCAAAAGTCCTGAAAATCCATATTCCTTTTTATATTTGCAATATCTATATGGATCTAATTGGATATCTTGGAAATTATATTAAGTTAAATTTTTAGAATATTTTTAATTTTTTGGAAAATACAGAAAATATTCTAAAAATTAAACTTGATATAATTTCCAAGATATCCAATTAGATCCATATAGGTATTGCAAATATAAAAAGGAATATGGATTTTCAGGACTTTTGAAGTAGTTTCAATACGACTACAAACGATTTGTTTAAAAATCCAAGATGGCGGCCTTGTGGTCACGTGACTTAGTTTCCATGGTAACCAAGGCTCTAAGGTTCCTTCTTTTCGCAAAAGACATTAACTTGCCAAGTTTGGGGAAGATTCGTAGAAAACTGGCTATGATATAGCCAAACAGTTTTTCATCTGAGAGCCATGCCTTAATGATGCTGAGTTGTTTTCAATACATGTATCAAGAACGTGATACATGTACCAGACACATGTATCTTGTCACTTTCTTTACAAATACATGTTTAACAAACCTGTATTTAATTGAAAGGATGTATTTAAGTACACGTTCCAAACGCCATTACATRTATGATACTTGTATAATACATGTATACTACACGTATTTTTGACCGGTATTTTACCCCATATAGCTCGCATGTCACAAACTCATGATGCACAATGCACCATGGGACATGTTGCAATGAAAAGCGGGTATTTGATGTAACGGCAATCATGGAAGAATTTGAAAGTAAAAAGTAAATACATTACTCCATGTATGACTAGATCGCAAGATCATAATAGATTATTAAATTKACGTTTTATATGAATAAATTATTAGGCAAGAGAATTTTTGGAATTGAAAGAGATAAGTTTTTTAATTCAGTGTATTTTTGCCATCAATCTGAAAGTTAATTTTGCTGAATCAAGTGACTAGTCTGAATTTGAGATCTCGTCAGTTTTTTTGTGAGAGAGACCTCCCCCCCCCAAACACCCAACAGCTGGACGCATTTCGCATTTCGCATTTACAATCGACAACATAATGGGCTCAAAACTAAGCCTACAGTGGGACGGGCAGAGCATAGAGGGTGCTCAGAAAGCGTCTGTTGGTGCAAGGCTCCGACATTTAGCAAATTTCAAGCTCTTGACTATATATCTGCTAGCTCGTTGAGAATAGTCAGGTTGCTCAACAAAATAAGCATGCTAAAGCAGGGTTTTTTGAGGCAGTATTGCGTGAAATGAGGGGCAAATCTAGAACCCCAGATTCTTAACTGATTGTAAAAGGTACCTGGAGGTGTTCCTAGGCAAGAAAGACTGCTTTTGTCGACAAAGACCATTTCTTTTTGACAACAAAAATAACAACACACACACACACACACAAAAGATAGAGAGAGAAAAAAAGAAATTATTGTCAGTTAAGAATATCATTAAATGCAATAAAGAAATAGTTTTCAGCGTACTTTTTCRGCAACACTTCAAACAACTGTACTCTGTGTTTTGGTAATGATCATTTGTGTCCTAAAACCAAATCAATTTAGAAAATGGTTGATAAAGTAGAAATTAATTAAACCGTTTTCGGCTGACTTATTGATAATCATGGCATGGTCAATTCTAGTGTTTATTATCTGATGGTCAGTTGTAGAGAAAGAATGGGTTACCAGGAGAGACGTCACAATAGTCCAGTAATCCATATGATAGACAAAGCCGGTCATTGGTATTCAGTACTAATGTCTTTACGATCATGTCGTCTTTCATTTGGGCAGGCAAATTTTCCAAAAGTTCATCGAACGTCACTCAGTTTGTTTACCTAACGAAGATTAGCTTGTCTATGGATTTATACAAGACAGCAGCGAATAGTTAATGAAAGAGGACTGTTTTTTAATGAAAGCCGATAGACAATTGAGTCGCGCTAGTGACATCAGTCGGGCTTKCAGCTTTGTGCTGATGATTATGGAGGATTTCGATACGGATTCCTTGTCGTCAGGTAAAAAAGTACGCTTTAATTCGAACGATGAAATATTTGTTATTCCAAACAAGTGGGATAGGTTAAGCAGGAAAACAGTTGCTGGCAAAGAAAAACTCCAGAGAGAATCACGCACAACTAGCAAACCAAAAGCAGTGGATGCTGAACGGCGAGGCAAAAGTAAACAAAGAAGCAAAAAAGTCAAGAGAAGTACAAAAAGCATTTACACTAAAACTAGTACAACAAAAACGCTTGCTTCACCTTCAAGTCAGGTAATGGAGCTTGARAGTTCTGTACTATCAACTGAGATATCAAAAACTACAAGGGAAAGGTCTAAAATTTCTAGTCTTGAGAAGGACTCAAAGAAAACTGAAACACCGGAAGTCAAACTCAAGCTATCTCATCGAAATAACAAAGAATTATCTCAAGATGACATAGTATTACCCAGGATTAATTATAATTCAAATTTAAGAAAAAGCATCGAGAATGCTGTTGTTAGGAATCGTCCATCCTTTGAAACAGGATTAGCAAGACTACACGAACAAAGTCGCGACAATTTGGGCTTTTCGTCTCTCAGAACTCGATCATATTCTGATACTAATTCTTCTACWAAYTCCTCGATCCTAAGTGAAGATCAAGACAATATAACATACCAAGAAGAATGTTTGTTTGTTTTGCCTGAAAGCGAAACGGCAAAGTTTAGTGAACTTTCACGGTATGTGGAAGGTTGGTCGCCATTTTCAARCGGCCACTCGACGGAAAATAGATTAACAAGTAGGCAGAAAATGCCRGGAAGTATTCCAAATAGYATTTTATACTGAATGTTTATTTATAATTTAAGAAAATAGATAATAAAGAATTTTAGCTATTAATTCCTTGCGGTAGAAATTTAATTAGTGCTTGTTTGATCAGCCTCTTCTAAACGACCATTATCCTGTAGTTAAACCTTGGTCAACACAAGGGTTCCTGGTGACCACAGTTCAGTACCTCCACGAACGACCAAATCTCACGAATCAGAAATCTTTGATAAAAAATACTTTATAAACTCCATAAGCGTCTAAATCTCATGGTTGAGCAACCTTTACAAGCAAACAGTATCATGCCGTAGCAAAACCTCTCAGAATAGCGACCAATTCTCATTGATCACTGCGGGCTRCAACCTTTATATCGACCACATCACTGTCCTTAGTTAAACCTCCATGATCGAACGCCCAGACCGCGTTTTTTATAGTGTTAAAACCTCTTAAGCCGATTATACTTTTGCATATTAGATGTGAGAGAAAGTGACAGGTTGCCCTGCAAAATGTTTTCGAATACTGTAGATTTTAATTAATAAGGATTTTGGTTAATCCAACCTTGATCCTGAAGTATGAATTCTTGAGAATTCTCTACGCTCCATGAACAACTGAACTTAAAAAATTTGACTTGTCCTTCATTTGTGAAGGTCTGTTTCTGGTAACTAACAAAACCGATCGAATTGTTGCATTTGTTTTAATGTTATACGTTTTCTTTTTCTTTTTCTTTTTCTTTTTTTATAAAAGAAAAATAATAAGTTAAAATGAAGTTGCTGAATTAACGTAGAGACTCTTGAATTTGAAAATGAGTATTTTTACGATGTGGTGGATGATCTGGTCTAAACTGACACGACGGCAAGCTGGGAGAACCGACAAGACAAACGCAGAAAAACCACGACGCCAARATTCTTGCTCGTTTTAGAAATGCTCTGAATGCAAAATTCAAAGGAAAAATTCAGAGCTTTTTACCTAGCGTTCACAAGGTCAGTGTCTTTACTTCAGCAACGAGAAACGAATAACACCCCAAGAACATGCAGAGATTACATTCCAACTATACAATGGAAACCGCTGAAATTCTTCCAAGAAGACTATTCTTTATATAATGTACTGAATTAAAATCRAAAGAAAAAATTCAGAGCTTTTAGCTAATGTTGTTAAGGTGTTCTAACTTCTGCAGTGAGAAACAAATAAGACCCCATAAGAACATGCAGAGATTACAAGCCAACCGACAATGGAAACCACTGAAGTTGTTTCTCGCCATAAAATAAAAATGGGAGTTTTCATGTCACCWTGGAGAAGTCAGTGAACGTAGAACAGAAAGCTAAAACAGACTACGAAAAAAGGCCATATTTATAGGTACCAATTAAGGTGCCAAACAAGGTCGAGGACAAAACTCGGCGAGTATGGAGCAATATTATTATTAGAGCTTTCAAATTATAACTTAAAAAGAACATTTCATACTTAAATGTGCAATAGTTCCGATATGATAACTAAGGAAAACTTGTTATTAATATCTTGATTATGGAAAAACCACTCCTACTTATAATCACCTATGAATATTGAAATACATATATGTGTTTGTGTGTGTAAGTGTGTGTAAATCACCTATGAATATTGAAATACATATATGTGTTTATCTCATCTTGTAATAAATTGTTTATCACTAACACACGATCACATCAGTTGTACTGTAAAAAAAATCGTGTATAAATAAATCATCGGTTTTTCATTATTATTATTATAATTAACGCGAAACAAAGCAAAATTCAGTCTGAAAAAGACCTGAATTAATACAAATACTGAGAATATGGCGGCCCCAATTCTCACAGTGCCTAGTTCGTGTTCAGTGTTAATATTTGATATTAAAAATGACATGCAGAAAAATCGGCTCCACGCAAGCTATACTTTTTTAGTCATTTCATTAATCAATTTTCTTGCGAATAGAAGCATTCAGTGTTGAACATTCTAATACACTGAAAATGTTTTTTTAAGCGCTGTAGTTGCGYTGTGCGCTCTTTTCTATATTTTATAATAGACATATTCATTTTACATCGACGCAGCTGGACTAACGTACTACTCTATGGCCTGCATTCCAAGTGTTTTTAGACGCTGCGTAGCACATTTGACCATTCGTAAGAGCGAARAATTGATTGACATGATGTATCTTCGTACCAGTTGGKCCTCGAAAATCTTTTGGAAACCATATAAGTGCTTTTTGCATTTTTTCTTTAATTTCAAGACCAGAGGTTTTTCGAATTGAGGCCTTCATTAGATCAAGACCATGTATATGAATAGAGTTCTGCTCCAACACCTACGACAATTGGCTAAATTCTTTAACCCATTAGTCTTTTATATTAAAAAGCTTAACGACCTGCTATTAACTCGTATGTTTAACTAACTCCAGCATTAGATGGCTTCCTGCTTGATGGCCATTAACATTTTGCAAGTTCGTAAGAATTACATTAAAGATGCATGTCGATGCACTTAAGTTAATAAAACGAAAGAAATTTGGCAAAGAAAAATTGCCAAAGAATAGTTGCCTCATTATTGGTACAAGACTCATCAGGGACTCAAGAAAAAGATGAAGTTCTAATGAGTTGACGCGGATTGAAGACTCAAGGTACGAGTCTGCATGATGATTTTGCGAGAAGGGTTGTCTTTAGAGAAATTGTATATTCTTACAGGCCTGACTTTGATGTTCCAATTTCAGATACACCAGCCCCCACCACCGAAAGAAAAATCTTTAAAAAGTAATTTGTCCTGTTCAAGTTGAGTTTACGATTTCTCGCTTAAACCTCTGAAATCCGTCAATTCTCGAGTTTTTGCTTCTACAGTACCACTAAGGTGAATGAATTCATCTGAGTGGACGATCTACACAGAATTGCGTGAAAGTGTAGGCGAATGRTAATCTTAACATCCTGTTTCTTGATCCATCAGTTGTGTTGGACAGGAAAATACCAAAACAAAAACACAATCAAATTGTATGAAAATATTGACGTAGTAACTTAATTATGGCGTCAAATGACAGAACAAAAGTGCTACAAAGTCAAGCACTAGTAGAACAACGGAGCTCTGCGATAAACTGTCCTACTGTCGATAAAATGCTATAAAAGTAAGAAATAGATTTTCTCTCCAGTGGATTCATTATCGTTGTGCTTTTCAGGGCAACGTGTTGAGAGCGCAGCAAGGCTGGCAAATCCGATTTCCAGCAAACTGCGCAACAATCAGTCTTACAGACAGTGCAAGTCTGCTATTCATGACCAACTAGAAGAAATCCTTCACTGGAAGAGCCTTTTTACTTGTGGAAACCATTTAAGGGGAAATAAAGATYCACATAAAGTTATACGAAGTACCCAAGGTCAGGCGATCGTGAGTGAGAGCCAACATTATTAGTGCAACACAAAAGATACTTAGTGATATTGGATCGTGGTTCTTGCGAATGAAGTGTTGAGTTGTTAGGTRAGTTTCTGGTTCATTGTCTCCTAAAGAGAAGGAGGGCAACCAGTAATATTGGYAATATTGCAAAGTCAAGAACWRATGGTTTTAARAAATTCATTCAAACTGAAAGGACTGGTGGTTATATGAAGTCCTCATCACGGGGTGATATTGCAGTGTGAGTTGAGTGTATTTTTTGGATATTACACTTAACTYATATGCATAAATACTTCCAACTTGRTGGCAATGTGGATTGACTTTGCATTTAGAGTCAAGCCAAACCCACGTCATACAATAGAGTTATAACCATTTAAACTTATTCCAAACTGTTTGATAATTCATGTAGTTTGACTTTAAATTTTCGGGTGCTAATTTCATTAGCAGTTGAACTTCACACTTCTGAAAATATTGTACTAAAAGAGCTCGTCGCTGCTAACAAATTTCTTGGTCGCAACGACAAACGAACGATCCTTGGCTTTCTACTCTGAGTCCACACACAAGCTAAGCGACRGAAGAGAAGAGAAGTGAAGACATGTCTTGGAGCCCACCGAGTAATGATTCTCCTGTGTCTTCAGGAAGCGAGGACTCATCCTCCGAGGTGCAGAGTCAACTTCAGAGCGTGTTAGTGAGAGTTAAGATTCAAGAACCAAGCAAGCAACCGTACGAGAAAAGAGTGAGGTTTAACAGCCTTGTGGAAGTTCGGTTCATTCCTAAAGTGAAATCAAAGAAAAACTCTGACAAGAACAAAGRCGACAAAAACAAAACTGAGCTAACTGAGAGTATAGTGGTTGAAAACGAGAAAGATGTTGCCAATGGAAACGATTCGAATATCTCGGAGGAAAAAAGYAAGGAGAGAAGTGATCCAGAGAAAAATACAACCACTGAAGACTGTAAAATAGAAAGCAAAAATAAGAATGAGAAGAGCGTCGGTAAAAGTAGTGCTACAAAGTCTTTCGACGGTGGCGAAATTCAAGTCAATGTTATAGCACGTGAAGGGTTGTGTTTACCTAAAGTAACTATCGGCCAGGAATATGAAGGAGATAAAATGCGCACARCTAAAGCTGTTCCTAAGTTACAACCGAGGAACTCAATACATAGGTATCTGAGACGAGGAAACAATGAGTCCAGGATGRATAGCTTGAGCGCTAAGGCTGTCATCCATCTTGAAAGACAAGCGATGGAATACTACAAGGAGGCAAATGCGATGCTGTTTGGGCAAGAAGAGAAGAAAGAAGATATAGAGAACCAACAACCACAAARTACACCTAGAAGTAAGTCTTCGTCAGATAATGTTGGAGAGTATCAARATGGAGAGAGCAATCGACTTTATCGAAGCAAGAGTTTACCTGAATTTAGAAGATCGAGTTTGCAATTARTCGACGTTAAAGAAGCCAAGGAAAGCGAAAAGGTACGTCCAATGACGGAAGAGACASGGAACAACGAGAATATGAATAAACTCTCGACTTCTCTCCCTTACATCGACATCACACCAAATCTAACAGGAAAATCGAAACAGGATACAAAGGAGTCCTACACGAAACTTTATTTACCTCAACTGCACAGAAGAAGCGAGGAAATTAAAAGACTGAATGAAACTGTGCTTAAGAAGAAACCTAAGTATATTTCCGATAAACAACCAAGCTCGCCGAACGAGTCGAACTCTCCGCTTGGTTTTGGAGTGGAAAAGAAAAATGATAAAACAGAAAGCCCACCACCAGCGAGTTCGCATTCTATAATACGATACTCGCACGGTCTTGATATTGCACGGCTGCTTAACACAGCACATCTTTCCTTCTGATGTCTGGTAATGAGGGCCAGTGGTAGAATAGCAGGGAGAAGAAACGGAAAAAGGGTACACGAGGTGCACAACGTTATAGGATTTGAGGTGTAGAGAATGTTACAATTATTAACTCCGCAGCTTGCTTACGAATAGATTGTGATCATTCCTTCAATTGACAGAAATACGCTCCCTAGCTATCGCAATTTAATTCTTAGGAAATATTAATCTAGTAAATAGAGGATATTACATGGGAGCGCGGAGATACGAATTTCATCTTCGAGTGTTCAAATTGATATCTCACGAGTGAGCGCAGCGAACGAGTGAGATATCTAAATTGAACACGAGAAGATAAAATTCGTATCTCCGCGCTCTCATGTAATGTTCTGTTTATTATATAGATATCGGTGAAACTTAAATAAAACAAAAGCTTAAAAATTCTTTATTAAAATAGCAAGGCGATTCTTTGACAAGTTTGAAAGCTAAATTTGATTGGTTGAAAAATACGTTACTATGTCAACAGCGATATCTTCACGTGTGAAGGATATGGTATCTTCCACTGGTAAAAGATATCAAGTTTTCGACAAAAACCTGGCATTTCATCGATATCTATATAATATAACTTGATATATCAATGGATAAATATAAGAGATGAACGAGAATTTAGCTTCTGCCATATAATTCTTTCAGGAATTGCTGGCGTTCTTCGAAGAAAATGCTTGAAATAAATGTTAGATATTTAGATATTTTAATAGCTTGATAAAAAAGCATTAAATACATTATTTATTGTTTTGTCGTTCTTAAAATCAATATATTGCTCCATTCTTTATTGATTCAGTCAGTTCAATCTTATACCCAGAGCCTGCGTTTCTTCTGGCCTGCGGCGAAGAACGAGAGTTTTGGCATAATCCATTTATTTGGCGCTTGCAAAATTTTCTGGAAGTGAAATATGATCAATGAAAATCATTCTTTAAAACAGAGTTCTGTGTTTACTTCCGATCAAAATAAAAATTAGAAATCGGGAACATATTTTTACATTTTTCCCAGTCTTTGAACGCATGCGCTCTYATACCGGAAGTCCAAGAAATGCTGGTCTCTATTGTTTTTCGTGCGCATGCGTGGCAGGAAACAATCCCGAAACCTTTGACGTTCAGTGAAACTTCTCATCAACGGAAGCCATATTGTTTTTTTGAAGATTGAGCTTGGTTCATGGTTTATTTTCGCGCAATATTGGACACATAGATTTATCTAATTAAATGTTCATCATGGTCATACCCGTAAAAATRTTTAAATAATGGTTATGACTCAAGTGTCGGCTCTAAGTGATAAATGGCGGCCCCATCTCTCCACACTTCACCATGACTAACCAATATCGGAGGGACGTAAAAAAACCACTGATGATGTARAGAAACTGTGTCAGTGACGGGCCACTGKCAGTGCCTACACTTCATTATGAACGAACCATCTCTCATTATTCTAAGAGCCTTCTGCGAAATAAACCGTTATCAGTGTATCAAACTAGCTAGACCAGAAAGCATAGATCTTGAATGTGTAATATATAGAAAAGTTAAGGTCAATGCCCTTATACAAGTTTTACTTGAATATCTTGGACATCTTACATGGTTGAGCCGAAATTTTCACTGAAAACTATCCTAATTTGTTGTTTTTGCAGTCGAGGTTGACTGAATATGCATSAGTATTCYATCAAAATAGATGATTACTCTCTGTATACTTCGATTAACTTCCTTCTTTCGCAGTTCGACGTCAGTGGTGATGATCGGCTTGCTAGTATCGTTAACAAAAGCCGTATCTTGCCTGCTTGCCTTTCAGTAGGAAGGAGTACATGACTAGACTATGTGTTTGTCTTATATATCTAGCGTTCATATGAATTATTCGAAACCGCTGGTCATTGACTGTATTTATTTTTTATTCATTTTAACTAACGCTGTTTTGGTAAAACACAACACGAGATTTTATTATGAATATGCTGACAACTGCACGTTTACCGGAAATCCACGTCAGCAGAACAAAACTATTCTGGATGGTTCTTTTGTTTCCTGTCTGCGCCAATACTGTACGACGTCATGCACACTTTGTAATGGYGTWCAATGTCACGCACAGTTAAACACGGTATCAGTTGTAAAAAAATTACATCCGGGCAAAACTTTCGTCTTCTTTGCTACCATATGCTGCATGACTGGCTTTGCCAYCAAACCAGTGAATACGGAATCAGTAATTACGGAAGCCATTTGACAGTCAAGGAACTGCACGTTCGCGCGCTAAGAGACCTCAAAATAAGTTGTTCCAAGTTTAATATTGATAACAGTCTTCAGTATCGTGGCATCGTGGTGTACGGGTTAACCAAGTGCGTCATAGGTTTCCGAACACACGAGTGGGACTCCTGGGGGGATTTTTCGAGGATTTTGRTTCTCCTCACTTAGAAAAATAAATTCAATGGCATGCAAGATTCGAAACCGRTACACTTGGCACCAAATGATAATACAATGCCTATCCCAAYCCTACCCTTAAACCTAACCACTTCCACGAAGTGAATTTGCTGGGATGCTTTCCAATTCATTGTCATTTAAAACKATKYTTCATTATATGCTATSGTAGGACACGACTACTAGCCGAATGAATTTGCATATCGGAATCGGAATTTGAAWAGAATCCCCCTGACAATTCCCGCACACCACGATACTACCATTTAYAAACACTGCAAATCTTTTTATTTTCTTAAAAAGTCAAGTGTCCATTYTATCAAAAGATATACAATATTAAAKCGTTAGGTGAAATAGTGTCTTCTTTCATAGCATTTGTGTTAAACATTTTGTACAGTTGTAAGTGCTGCAAACAGGTAGGAATGTGATATACATTATACAGCCGCACGCCCGTTCGGCACAACATGACGTCACGCATGCACTGCGCCAARCGCGTAATGATTTTGACTGGTGGGAATCTGATTTCATGGAATTTCATGGAATTGTCTCGACAYACYATATAGRAATAATTGAATATCCTTCGAGTGTCGACTAGAGGCTAGCCGCTCCACAMCTTACTGCTTMCTGGATGAATCAGAGCAGRGATTTTGAAGTTGCTATGCAACGGAGAGAAGTGCAAAATACAGGCCCGAAATTAAAGATCTAGATTTTCTAAAGGTTTTTAATTGATATCGATATCCATTTAAGAATGAAAATATACTTTGGTAACACTATAATCACAAGGCTGCAACTTTTTCGTAGGTCGTGACAAGATGCACCGAGAGTGTTCAATGTACTACCACAGGGAACCCAGTCACACTTTTAAACGACGTATGGTATGCGAGTAACATGAGAAGTGAGTTACAATTTCCGTCCATGCTTCTTGTCACGACTACAGAAGGAATCAAAGATGAAAATCTAAACAAACRCGAGGTAAAACACAGATCGTAGAGTACTATAGACCTCCATCAATTTTGAAGAAAGGATGTTAAAATGTAGAAATAACCAGGGAGGTCTAGCCTCCTATATACGCRGACGTTCTTCTTTCTCACTTCAGCATAACATTCCTTGTATGGTCCACTTTGTATCGATCTGTGTTCAACAAGGCATGAATTTTCACGACAGGTTTTGAGTTTCCAGAGGGGGCACAGCTATTAGAACCTTTATACCAAGTACCCCTTGCCTCCCCTCCTTTCACTGACCCTTCTTAAAACTTAAAACTTATCACCACACGCACTACCACTACATTCTATATTTATAACGTACAACACTCAACTCACATGTTGATTTTTACGGAGGAAGGAAACCGGAGATCCCGGAGAAAACCCTCGTGGCAAGAGAGAGAGCAACACATCAAACAAACTCAATGATTCAGTCTGAGCCGGGACTCGAACCCAGACCACAGCGGTGAGAAGCGAACGGTAAACCACGTGGGTGGCATGGGTGGCGAGTGGTTAAATAAGAATATAACCTAAGTAAGAATATGACCTTGGCATGAAATTTCAAAGTCATAAGAGTGCTAATATTAATGTTCTTGYACAGTATTATATTTCTGTTCACCAGTACTGCACGATTAGATTCCTCTTCCGGAAGTATCAATAGAATCTGTGTATTGAATACATGCACCAAATGATCACCTCCGATGGCAATGTAAACATATCCTCGTTTCCTATTAGCAAGAGAGGAAGAAAATACTTCGAGAAGAAATTGGAGTGTCATCATCGACAGTGCCCTATAAATATGACCACACAACGACCTCACTGTTAATAACRAGCTCAAACAGCCAAGCAAACGAGTGGTAAGTGGTAGATAARATGACATTAGCCGTAACATCGTCAGTCACTGATAGTCCATGTGAGTTAATGGTGCTTAAATCATCCTAGTCGGTGTACCATTACTGCACTTGCCTGTCTCGGCACACTTGTTTCAGAGTTTTCTCCGGGTTCTCTGGTTTTCTTCCCTCTGCAACTTTCCGGCCCAACTCGCTAGTCATAGCAGTAACATCATCCCACTGATAGTCCATGTGGTGTGCCATTATAATTACTGCACTTACCTGTCTCGGCACRCTAGGCAGTTGAGTTCTTAGGTCTCGGCTCCCTTGATTTCAGAATTTTCTCTGGTTTTCTTTTCTCTGCAAAACCCAACTAGCTAGATTGCAATTGGAGCTGTGAATTAGCTGTGCCCTGACTTAGATCGGCCCAGTCGAGGTTGTTTCAGGGTTTTATACGATATTTGTTGTTGTTTTTATCTGAGCATTGTCACTGATATCATTTGTTTTTTTGATCTGCAGACATTGAAAGGTGAATCTTGTTCAACATGTCAATGAAAGTTGTTCTCATATCTTGTCTCCTGGTGCTGATCGCAACCGACAGAGGACTGAGTTGCTTCCCCAGCCGTGGAGGAGGAGGCGGAGGAGGAGGTAGAACAACTAATAAAGCCCAGTAAGTCATGCAATCATGTTGGCAAACATGTAACGATAGGACGACCGAGCCGAGGAATGTGCTACTACGATCCCCAACTGCAGCGTTTGGCGTACAAAGTACACCTGAAACAATCGCCAATTGTAAATTCTATTTTTAGCRTCATTGAGGAATTAAACAGGATGGGGATCAGACATGGGCAAACATCAATCCCCTGGGTTCCCTCCCCCAAAACAGTACATTCCGTCCCAGTATAAAAGGCGCACTGGTATTGTGTGGAGTCATGAGTTTGCTGACTTAAATTTCTTGTATTGTGACATGCAGTCTGTGACTAATTTGAGATTTAAATGGAGGCTTGCTTGCTTGTGATTTGACAGTCATGTCATATCATTTGTTTTTCTMCCTATTCCAGGATAACTGTGCCATCGTGTTGTCCAGAAAGCCAGAGTCCATCTGGAGGACCAAGTCAAAACAAAGGCGCTGCAGTATGTTACTTTTACCGATCTTCACTGCAAGTTAAATGCATCAAGTAAGCATTCACTCGATAGCTCTCTTATTTAAGTGAGTGTGAGAAAGAAAGTCACCTTATGAGTTCAAATTCTAGATTTAGAACTTACGATAAGTCTGTATATGTAAGGCGTCTCTCACCTATGGGGTTTCAGGTTCCATTTATAGAGTAAGGTTAGAGTAGAGTTTGTTAGGTCTCTCCCTTGCCCGGGGGTACTCCCCTAAAAAAACCCTCAGTTCCGGTACTTACAAAAATAGAAACCCTGTTCCAGATAGAGAGAGAGCGTGATTTCCCATAGTGTTCCAGATAGAGGGAGAGAGCCTGATTTTATATACCCTGTTCCAGAGAAAAAGAGCGTGATTTCATATACCCTGTTCCAGAGAAAGAGAGAGAGCGCGTGATTTCCTATACCCTGTTCCAGAGTAGAATCGCTGAAAACCATACCCTTTTTGGCGGCACACGTACCCGTATAGCGAATATTTTATATGCAACAGAGTATGGTTTTCAGCGATTTTACTTTGGGCCCCCCGGGCTCCCTTGATATAAAGGGTTTTTTCTGGTTTTTCTGGTTTTCCTGTACGTCCACAAAATCTAAAGCGATAAATCTGAATTCGATGTGTGAGTTAACCGTGCACTTTAATCAGCTCAGAATGAGGCTGTTTCGGGGTTTTGATAAATTGAAGGTGTTTTGAAGGTTTGATCATTATATTGTAAGACCACGATGAATGTGGGATTTGTTTTTGTCACCAGGGACAATTCCGTGCACACCTGTGATGTGGCAAGAGCCCCAGACAGGTATGAAAGTGACCCGAAGGGTCCCACCCCTTACGGTGAGTACTTGATCGGGAAACATCGCTACRACACCAACTATCCTGGACTCGACTGGTTCAACCTCTACCCAAAAAAAGAAGACAATACTGGTTACTATGGTTATTTCTCTGCTAACAACCAAGGACGCTCTCAAATGGGCCTTCACCCTGGTCGGGTCTCTTGGGGTTGTGTAACTGTTTCTACTCCCCACTGTAGCGGTGGCGATATTATAAACTGCTACAACAGCGACTCTTGCTGGACGTCAATCAAGAATATTGTGAACAGCGGTCACATGAACTACAAAGGGTACTCTTACTCTGGCATTCTTTATGTTGTATAGAGAACATAAGTGACATTGCATTGCGAGTCTAATCAGATCGACATTTAATTACTGAAGAATAGACTGGCTGCTTTATTATAGAATCTAGAGGGCACGGAGAAAGGGGGAGGGGGGAGGGGGAATGAAACTCGGCCGCCGGAAGACTAGTACTTTCCAGGATCGGAAAAGCGAGTGGGACCGCGGAAATCTCGCCGGGACCTTCGCCTGATGTTAAATCATGATACTATGCGGGTACAGGCTTACCAGCTAGAGATGATGTTTC